TCGAATCCTCTTTCCACTCTGCTCTCTACTTGTAGTCTGTTGCTGACACAGCTGTTCCCTTTCCTCTTGCATTGCCCCCGCCGCGTCTCTCTCTCACGAGAGCCCTTCATCGGTCACCATCTCCCCCTGGTCCCTGGATGCTCCGTTACCTCCTCTCATGGGGGCTGCTGCTTCCTGTGGCCCCGCTCACCTTCAGCCCGTGGGGGCTCAGTGTTGCCCCCATGTGCAGGATCATCCTCCGCTTTCTGCCAAGAGTCTTCCTCCCTCTCTCCAACTCGTGCTGCTCGTTTTTGCCTTGCTCTTGACCCATGCTGTGCATAGTCACTTTGCATCATTTTACCGAGGGGAGTATAAAAAGCACAGTTACATCAAGGCTTCCTCATATTTCCCCTCCAAAAAGCAAAGTTCACCCAGTGAAACCTCTCTTTTCTTTGATAGGTTCATTCTGAATTGATTCTAATCCATAATTACTTTGCTTGATTCCCGTTCGAATCCTCTTTCCACTCTGCTCTCTACTTGTAGTCTGTTGCTGACACAGCTGTTCCCTTTCCTCTTGCATTGCCCCCGCCGTGTCTCTCTCTCACGAGAGCCCTTCATCGGTCACCATGTCCCCCTGGTCCCTGGATGCTCTGTTACCTCCTCTCATGGGGGCTGCTTCTTCCTGTGGCCCCACTCACCTTCAGCCTGTGGGGGCTCAGTGTTGCCCCCCTGTGCAGGATCATCCTCTGCTTTCTGCCAAGCGTCTTCCTCCCTCTCTCCAACTCGTGCTGCTCGTTTTTGCCTTGCTCTTGACCCATGCTGTGCATAGTCACTTTGCATCATTTTACCGAGGGGAGTATAAAAAGCACAGTTACATCAAGGAGTGGCAGTGCCCCATCTCCTGTAATTGCTGGATGTGAGAGCTGTCATTTCCCAACACATCTATTAAAAGCATGTGTGAAATGTGGTCGGATGTGTCACGATTTCACATAATGCTGATATTAGAGGGGGTTAAGGGGCAGAACACCTTGGCAGCGAGCCGCAGCTGGGAAGGCCAAGCAAGGCTGTGGGACGTTATAGCAACTGCTTCCTTAACGTGTTTGTGCGTTGCTAGATCCTCAGCTCCACTTAGCTGTCAGGAAAATTCCCAAATCCAAGCAGAACTTTACTGAAATAAAGTATTGCAGAAAAGGAATCTCTTTTGAGTTGGGGTGGCCACAGCCGGCTCCTGTTTGCCTTGTAAACAGCAAAGGAAGCGATTCCAGTTGCCCTTTTTTGGCTCAGCCGCTGATTTTCGTGGCACTCTCAGGAACGCCAGGGCGCACGTGCTCCAAGGCACCTGACACCCGCCGTGTCCCACAGCTCACGGAGGGCCATCTGCAGAGGAGAGGAACGAGCCTCATTTCTACAGGAGCCCCATGGATCCGGGCTGGTGGGAAAGGGCTGGCTCCTCCAAGGTGCTGGTGTCAGTTACAAATGGGAGAGAGGCCGCTTGCTCCTTCAGCTGATGGCTTCCTAATTTCCTTTTACACTGATCTCCTGTCCTGCCCTGGATGTAGGTGCTGATGGGTTTGTCTGAAGCTACCAGACTTAACGAGATGATTAAACTACCCTTCGGTCTCTTCATGTGGTTATAGCTCTGCATTTAAATATAAGCTTATGTAAGGTGATGTGTACTGATAAGAGAAATGGAGTAAGGTATTAATTTATCAAAAGTTTTCCCTTTTTATATATATATATATATATTTATATATTTTTTCCCTGCATTCTACCCCCATCACTTTTGTAAGTCAGAGCTCATTTAACATTTCAACACATTAAACATCTAATATTCAGAGTAACTTTTTCATTTTTGGCAACTGAAGTCAAAGGGCTAGATTTTAATAGTGAAAAATGACCAGTTTGGCTGTGTATGCAGTCATGCAGGTGACAGTCCCTTAGAGATATTCACAGCCACGGAGTATTCTGTCATTCTGAAAGTCAGTGAGACCAGGTATGTTGGTCAATTTATTCTCATGTACTGGCCTAGAAGAGAGATTTTTCCATATACAGTGGAAGATTTAACATGAAAATTCACTGACTTCTATGGGAGTTTAGCAGAAGTTACGCATTTGAGGGAGCATATACACCTGATGCAGCATTGTGGTACTAAAGAATTGACTTTTTAATATTTTTTTTTTCTAAATTGAATAGTAACTTTGCTGTATGAAACTTGCTTGAAAACCAATCTTCCACATATATTTAAATACAAAAAAAAATGTTTTATACTCATTTAGATCTATTCGGTATGTTGCAGGGCCCATGAACAGGATTGAGCCAGACACAGGTACCTGCACAATCTTGACTGCTGAGACTGACCCACTTATTTATTCTTACAGGACAGAACTGCTGCATCAACCTGGGAAATTGTGGAAGGGGGACAAGCAGAGCAGAAGAATGAGAAAAAAAGCTGATCCTGCATCACTGGACTTTTTGGTTGCAATTACATTCAGAACAGTTGTAAATATTACCAATAGACAAATAAAATCTCTGTGGCAGAATGGCCAACAACTGTAATATAACCTGAACAAACTCCTGTGAAGCATCACGACTGAAAGCAAAAGGGCTGTTACACACTGTATGTTAAAAATCTATACAGCCAAAAGCATGCCTTAATTAAGGCACACCGAGAACAGCAGAGCATCCTTTTTTTGATTCTCCCTCCTTGTTCTGTTTCCTATATAAGATGAACAGGATGATGTGGATGCCAGGAGATGCAGAGCATCCTGCCTTCCGTGCCAGGAGAGCGAGGTGCTGGAGGCCGAGTGGAGCAGGGGGCTGCGTGGTAAATACTGCCTTATGGGAGCAAGTACTTTGATGGTCTAATCTGTGTGAAAGCATGGGGAACACGAGAACAAAGGCTCATAAATAAGCAATCTCTACTGAAAACATATTTTTTATATGGTTAAGTAGAGAATAAAAAGCTGTAGTTAGTTGTGTTTCTGCTGTCTTTGTGTTTATCAGGGGAACTCTGTTAGGAACACAGAGGTAGGTGCTTATTCAATACTATCTGAAATTAGTTAGTGACTGTGTTGCTTACACCAGTAGTAAACTAGAATGAATGGAAAACATTTTCCTTCCAGAAGTTGGGTCAGCTTCTGCGGGAACTAGAAATTCTGTGAAATACACCACCACCCCCAGGCTGGTTAAATATAATCACACCAATAACACACCACACTATTCACCATCGTTTATTTGCTAGATTTTTATTTCCTATGGAAAGAAACTGCTACATTTCCAGAATGTTGTAAAATTAAATTTTAACAATTTCTATACATTAGTGAATAACAAAGTTACAACTTTTGTGTGGATTTAAAACCAACATGGCAGATTGAAATCTGTACTGATTTCAGTTAATTGATTTGGCTTTGCCTACAAATGCAATTTTGAAATAATACCATTGATGTTCCACATACAAAAATGCTCATTTTTAAAGGAAGTCAGTAGCTGTTTTAAAATCAGTTTTAACCTTGATTTTATATAGAAGGACTCAGGCTTCTCAAATAGTTTCAATGGGAGAAACAATAGGAGCATGTTTTCCCTAAGGATGTAGCCAGTTTACAAAACTGTTTATAAATTAAACACTGAAAATCCAGCTTTTTAGAGTAGACAGTTGTGCTAATCTAAAAAGTCTATGACTCCTCCTAGATCAAAATGAGCACATATTTAAAAACCTATTTTAAAAATAGGCAACTGGTTTTAAAAGAAAAAAAATGCATTGGGGTGAGGTAGTAGTCACAGTGCATCCAGAAGTATTAATTGTAAGGGCAGGAGGGAAATATTAGGAGCAGCCTTCGTTTCACAGGTTTCTTGTGGGAAGCTAGTGCAAGGTGTGAAAATGCAACCTGAGGAGCATGCACAGCACCCTGCTGCAATCTAGAGCTAGATCATGGGAAGAGTGGGTGAAATGAGTAACACCTACTGTACTAACCAGACACTTCATATGCTTGCTCTGTACTCAGAGCCAGACGGGGGCTTTAAGGGGTAGTATCCACTTCCAGCCCTTCCTTGAAGTTTCTGTAAATGTACTTTGAGTGAATGAGTGAGTGAACTCTCTCCGCCTTGGTTGAATCTCTCTTGCCTTATACTGAATTTCCAAAAACACAAGGAAGGGGAGTGTGCAAGAAGCCCCGGCCGTTCCCTGCGGGCACGGAGCCGGCAGCGGCGCTGGCCCTGGAGCGGCGGGAGCGAAGCGGCCGGGCAGGAGGCGCTGCCTGTTCCCAGCCGGTTGTGCTGCCGGGACCGCATGCACTGGGCTGTGCAACAGGCGCAGGCGCCTGTCCGTGCTCGCTGAGTGGGTGTCCCCTGCGGGCTGACACGTTTACACACAGGGCTCTGGTTCAGCCAGCGACTGACGCTGCAACAGCGCTCGGCGCTTCCAGCATCAACCCGGCCCAGGCGGGAGCACCAAGCTGCTCCTCATACCCGGTACCCACCTCTCCAGAGGGTCATCTCACAGTTTATCATACTCAGTTCCAGATGAGTTGAGAGCAGCTGAAGAAATATCAAGTAAAACTTGCCCAGGTAAGAACCATTATCAGTTAATACTAGTACACCTACAGCAGATCCTTATTCTGCAATTTTTTTTTTGTTTGTTTTGGTTTCAAACAAACAAGACAGTCCATATTGCAAGGAAGGGATGTACTGTCAAAACGAATGCTGCCTCCAGGGCTGGGAATGGCCAGAGGCAACTAAATACATTCAAAAACCTAAAGCAACTCTCATGCATTCCCTTTCGAAGGAGGCTTTTCTTTTCTCTTTTTTTTCCTTTTTTTTGAAGTGAATATATTAGCATGATGAAAAATGAAGTGCAATAGCTAATTCTAGACACAGAGTCTAAAAATGAAATCCTGACAACCTTGGTGCGAGCCAAGAAATTCAACTGAGCTGGTGGAAGTTTTACTTTCATCTAAATATCAAGTGCATTTTTCTGCAGTTCACAATTTTAGTTATTGCTCAATAACTATGAAAAAACAGAGGAATACTTTAAGTTTAGTTTTATTATATTATAACAGATCTGCAACTACAGCTTATTTCAGCCAAAACATTTTTGTATTCCAAACTCTTAAAAAATATCTACATTAATCATATTTTCTATTCTTAAAAATAAGAAAAAAAAAATCTACCTAGCATACCAATGCTGCTACAGCACTTGGAAGGGTGCATTACTTATGTCAATTCTACTGTAAATATAATCATTCTTGCAGTGATGGTTCTTGCTTTTCTTCCTGTCGGCTGCTTTGGCTTCAGGTTTCAAAAAGTTTGCTAAAAGCTGTTCCAACTTCTGAGACCATGTCAGAGGCAGTCATTGAGCGTCCGAGTTTTTGGAAGGCTTGGTTGTTACATTGCCTCGTAAGGGAGCAAGCTCCAAACGCAGCCACTAGAAACGGATTTAGACTAAAAGAAAAAAAATAATAATAATGACAAACAAAACCTAAACATTTTTGTTTAGAGCTGAGTTTTGTGTAATTCGTAAGGATAGTAATGTAACAGAGCTGCAGGGGAACTCGGTTCAGCTGAAACATGCACTGTGTTTCAGCCTGTCAGTCAGCACTGGCCCCTCCTGCATACACAAAGTTGGCCACTCCGCTACTCTCCGGCCCTCTGCTTTTGGTGCCGTGGGGGAAGTGATCTTTGGACCCAAACGTGCTTGTCAGCATCAGGGAGAAGGTCTTTGAGGCAAAAGTCCTTCTTACTGCAGAGTATCTTTGGCTGAACTTGTTTTTTTTTTTTTTTTTCCCCTAAAGCATAAGCCACGAGTAAGAAGCAATACCACAGCTGAATGGTGCAAACAGAAAAACAGACTTGTTGTTAGAAATGGGTACACAGACTCCCAGGCCTGGTTTTACCTCCTCTTCCTTCTCAGCAAAACCCCTTCCTTCCCTTCAGAGGACACTGAAGAATCACCTCACAGTCTTTAACTCTCTCTCCTTCCCTCTCACCGAGCACCTCAGTGCAGTTTCGTAGGGCACCAACGTGGACATGAGGTAACGCGTCCCACACGGGGCTGCGTCACCGCGCGGAGGCAGGGCAGGGCAGCCAGTGCGGAGCCTCGAGGTGTCTCCTGCCTCAGGCCACACCGAGTCCCTGCCCCTGTGCTCTGAACCCAGCACTTGTCCTGCTTCCCCACAGGGAGCTGCTGCGGTGGCTCCGAATCCCTCACGCACCTGCACTGGGGTGAGCGCGCTCAGAAGTGGGGTGGCCCAGGCCTGTTAGACTTCTCTGTTGCCTTCGGCCTTCACTGCTTCAATCCCTGTCACCAGAGGCAGCAGAAGCGGCCTGGTCTCAGAGGAGGTGCTGGGCCCAGGGAGCAACCGGCTGCTCCCATACGTGGTCAACAGCAAGATGCACAAAGAGCCTAGTGCCCGCACTGAGGTACTTCATCTGATCAGCTTTGCAGAGTGCAGACAACAACGGACATCCTTGGAAATTAAGGAAAACTACGGAAAAGGGCGGCCCGTTCTCCCTGCCACCCTGCAGTGGGGAAACGGGGCCGAGCCGCCTGTGCTGCCCTTGTGGCACCGCAGCAGAGTCAAAGAAGGGCAGAAGGAGCCGGAGGGCAGCCAAGGGCGTCAGCCCCACTGCTCCGGGCTGCACAGGAGCTCGGCCCGGCTGGCTGCAGTCGGCTGCTGGGGACCCACTGATGAGGGCAGGTTTGTGAGGGCTCCCTGTGCAAGGCACAGGCAAAGCAGCACGTGGGGTTAGGCTGAGGTGGTAGCAGGGCAGCAGCTTTTCCCCTGCAGGTAGCACCTGCACACCCTCGCCCATGTGCGGGAGTGAATATTTCAGACCCCTTAGGATCACCATCCTGCATGCCCAAAACCTGCCCTGGAACAAGAATTACACACCGACTTCTGGGCTCAAGACAGCTTCGGGCTTTGCATCTAAGGCTATGAGATACCAGTTCATTACATACCGTAGCCTATCACCTTAGCATCCTGCCTACTTACTAAGGTGAATCCTTCAGGCTAACACAATCTTAACCTATTTTAAGACCCTACTCTATTCAAATCCATTTTGAAGCAGCCCAGTGGCTGCAAGTGGGGAAGGCCGAGCTGGACTGCCCGCAGTGCAACCCGGCGGCCGAGGCCACGAGTCGCCCCAGTCCAGCAGCTCCTCCTTTGCTGGAGCACGCGGGTAAGAACGGGGTTTGAGAACGGCCACCTGAACACCAGCACAGCACAGCGCGGGTGCCAACAGATTCTCCCACCTTCCTTCACCTACAAAGTAAAGGGAGTTTGGAGGGGACAGTTGTTTGGAAAAGCCACAGGAGCCCAAATCCAGCTAGCGGCACCAAAACACCCTGGAGAACACGAGCTTCGTTCCGTAACCCTCCGACAATCTCAGGCACACGAACAAGCCGGGCTTCATTCTGGGCATGTCAAACTCCTCGGCACGGCTAAGTCTGGATCCAGGGTCCCTCAGGCCTAAGGGGAAAGCTAATCCCATGCTCCAAGGGTAGCACGAACGCTGACTAGGCAATTCCTAGGGACGCACGGACATATCTGCATGGAGCACCTCAGAGATCACAACACATTTCCTCGTTCCTCTAACAGCAGCTAGAAACTGTTCAGGTAAAAAGAACCATCACAGAAAGAACAAATTACGGTAAGCAAAATGCAAATTTAGAATCAGAAGAAAGTGCAAAAGTTCAGGAATACAGACAGAATTAATTGGAGAGCCTATGAGAGAATTGAATTAGAAGGAGAAAGGGAGCAACTGTAGAATGTAAAGATGTTACATAATTCTCAGTTTATCTTCTGGGAGCAAGGAGATGATCCTTACATTCGGAACAAACCAACCAAAGAACGATGAAAAGAAGGGCAAGGATCGAGACAGCTGCACAGAGCCACGCTCAGCCGCAGGCCAGCAGACAAAACTCAGGTGCACAAAGAATTAAAAACTTGTGATAAACAACGGCCCCAACGAACCCAGCAAGCCGGCCATACGCCTTAGCCTGAAGGCTGTGTTCAGCCCTGGGTAACTCCTCACGAAACAAATATCCCTGAAAGGACTGAAAGGAAGGAAAAGCTACCTAGAAAAAAGAGAGAAGCTGCCACATAAGCAAGTAACAAAAAGAAAGCCTCAGGAAGAAACCAAAAAATGGTAGTAACAAAGACAATGTTCTCAGAAAAGAAACAAAGCACTCCAAACTGACTTCTCATATAATCTATGATGTCATATAGTTTAAAAAAACAAAACCAAGAACCCCACAACAACCTAGAGAAACATGCGATCTTACTAAGAGTTGTCATATTTTAAAGTTACACGAGAAAATATTTTTACTTGGTGAAGACTTCTGAATTGACAGATGTAATAAGTGAAAGACAGCAAGAGTGAAGCAACAGGTTTTTTGTTTGTTTTGTTGTTTTTTAAACAGGAATATTTAGGCCAAGGAGAACACCTACAGCTCATTACTTACTTGGACAGAGACCGTTATTCCCTGGTTGCCTGTGCCAGGCTCCTTGATGATTTCCTTTAAAGCAGCTGCTTTCACAGAAAAGCTACAGGACTGTATGGACCAACTGTTCCAACAGGGCTGGATGTCACTTAACACGGGCTGACAGGCAGCTGCAAGTGCAAGGCTGCTTTATACATGAGCAAACTGGGGTGACACTGTTCCTTTAAATAGTCACCCTCTTTGAAATTACATTTTATCTGCAAGTCTCATCTTACATGACTTAGGGTATTCCTTGGCTACAAGGCAAGATAATTAATCAAATTACAGATATAAAAGTAAATTACAACTTTTTTTTCTGTAATATATGAATATTACTACCAGTGCCTGCCATTATTTTTTCTTTGTGTTTTCTGCCTAGATCTAATTGTTTTGAAAATACACACCCCACACCTTGAAATTGAGCCACATTCATATTCTTCCTCTGCCTTAAGCCTGGGAGACATTAGTGAAAAAAATTGTCTTATTACAACTGGAACTGTTACACCGAGTCCTCTAGAATCCACATTTGAAGCAGTACCTGTTTACCACCATCCCAATTACTCCCATTTCATTTATGTTCATAGCAGTTGCCATAGGGGGATACAGACTGACAAGAATTAAGAAGTTATGTATTGATATCCATACCCATTCGTTTTTTCTGCTCCGGCAAGAAATGCCCAGTGTGCTAAGACTCCAAGGGAACCCGAGAGGAGGTCCCCCTGTCCGCCGCATCTCCGGCTGCTTCCTTCGTGACTGCACACAAGAACTACGAGCAAACACACCAAAAAGAGTCACGTTCGTTTCCGTCTCTGGGCACAGTGACAGCACCGGAGCTGCGAGGTCTGACGTCCGGAGAAACCCGCAGAAAGCGGCACATGCTGAAAATCCACTGTTCTTAAAAAACAAAAACACGTCAGCATTTTAAAAATACTTCACCAACCATGTGTCAAGCCTTTATGAATAACTTCACAAGGTATACACGTTACTTTTTCCGCTTTACTTACGTACGCTCCACAGAAGACTCGGCCACTAAGCAATTTAGTGATTTATGTTTACAGATATTATTGATACTGCCACAGTAAACATCAGCTTCACACTAGACCCGATACCTTTACTAGGCCCTTGTACAAACATGGTTCTTTAGAGTCTCTGACCTTCAGAGCTTACAAACATGAGAAAAGGTGTTTTACAAAGAGCAAACACAAAAGAATACAACTAAAAATGCATCAGAATCAAACCTTACTGAAAGCTGTCTGTTTTCTTTGGGCCTTATAAAAGCAGTAAGTAATTTTAATTGCTTATGAGCGATGTCATCATTACACATGTGTTTTCATCAGCAATATCACCATGGACAGGCTAGACTACAGTATCAGATGTTGCATTTCTACTTCGACTACACAAAGGTTCTTGCTCAAACTGACCTCTTCGTGGAGCTTAAAGTGTGAAGCACACGGAAACGGTTTCACTAAACTTAACTCTCTTGTCCTTCACTCTCAACAGGCCCGAGGCGAAGTCATAGGGAGGAATAAAGCGTACAAAAAGAAAGCAGCATCAATTCTGCTACCCTTCTCCAAACTCTCTTGTGAGCACATTGTATCCATCTTTAGTGTTCCCTCTTGCTGGCTTTGAAGAAAAGCTTATTTTTCTCTCCTACCAGAAAGGAAGATGTGGTAGTAGTGAACCTCAACATCTCAGCTGCTCGGGTCCCTCATGTTTGCAAGCACACGAACAATCCTTTCAAATAGGAGAGCAGTGTCTTGGGACCAGGGCTTCTACTCCAATTTTTTCAAGGGGCTTAGATGAGGCTGCTCCAAGGCACATGAAGAGGGGAGCCCAGGTGTTATGGAGGGAATAGGATTCTTACTTTTTATTCAAAGACATTTGGGTAGGCATGAAAAAATGAAGGGCCTGCAGGTAAGCCTTCTTAAAAAGCAAGACGCAAAGCAGGACTGATGACAGTCAATCCGCTCCCAGCCCACCTGCATAGTTCACTGCTGCTTTTTCGTTACCCAGTGCGGCAGAGAGCCTGCCTGTCCTTCGCCCGTCTCCTACCAAGCCCCCAGCAGTAGCTGCTGCCTCATGGGCCCAGGCACTCGAGCGTTCCTGCTGCCCCTGGGAGGGTGAAGATTCACCGGCACCGCGAGCGCAGCAGGCGCCACGGCGGGATCCCAGCAGCTCCTTTTCCCCATTGCTCTGCCACCCTCCCTTCCCCCCCTCCAAATTAAGATTCTAGACGTGTCTCTCTGTGAATGGTAGTTAATGCCAAATTTCACAAGTGCACTGCTCTTCCCAGTTAGCTATTTGAAAAAAGGTTTGTCTTTTTTTTTTTTTTAAATAGAATGCATTGGAGAAATTACCTCTAATTCTGCTACTTTGAAGATGGTATCTCACAGGATTTTCACTTTGAGGTCTTGAACTCCTGGCAGGAGGCAGGATGGAAATTCTCTGTTCAAAGCTTTGAGGCCTCCTGAGTGACGGCTGAGCACAGGCCCCTGCTTATTAGCTGCATGGCACCATCTGCCTCTATTCTGCAGCCCCACAACCTTCCCGTCAGTTTTGAACCATCTAAGGAAAGCAACAGCTCCTCAAACTAGGCCAACCACAAAACCCTGCCACAAAAAAGTGCTCTTTTGTTTGTGTGCGTGTGTGTATTGTGTGTGTGTGTCTCAAATGTGTGCAAGGCTACCTCACCAGCAGCAACAAAGGCAGATCTTTGTACTGCGCGCAGAGGCCAGGAAACTCCCCAGAAGGAGCGGAAAGGTAAAACGCACAGAGGCTCAGTTCCTCAAAGAGCATCTCCAAAGAAAAGGATGATGGACACTGCAACAGGCAGCGTGAAGAGCAGTGAAACCTCCTCTGAACAACAGACACTGTTAAGGCCTTTTAAAATAAAAGAGCAATTCCATACAGCCACCAAGACAAAGTGGCACGCTGCCAAATCCCTGAAGGACAAAGACTCCGTGATGCTTTTCCCAGCGTTTTCCCAGGACAATGAAACCCAGCTGCTCTCCCACCCCTGCATCCCCTACGGGACGCCCGGGACCTGCTGGCTGCACCAGGCGGCTCCGCAGGGGCTGGGCAGTCCATCTCCTCCCTTGCTGCTCTGAGGCACCTTTTCAGGACCGTTACTAGACAGGGAGGACTCAGTAGTCAGTGATGATGCCAAACAGACAGATTTCTTTCCTCTGGGAAGAAGAATGATGTATTTACATGAGGATGAAATACCTCTCAGTCCATTGCTCAGCAAGGTAATACCACATTAAAGTAATGATTTAAATCAAAACGCCTTGAAAATTTGACTTTTCAAATTCCAGGAGAGCTGAGGAGATGGAGGCGGCTGAATCCAGAGCAACAGGGCAAGAGCTAAGACAGAAAAGGCCACAAGGAGAGAGCAACCAGAGCCACCCTGGGTCAGGCAGGCTGACACCAATCCCTGCCAAAAGCAAGGAGAGGTTCAACCCAGTTCACCAGAGAGACCTCAAGAGCCTGCGGCACAGCCAGTGCCACTCGCATGGCCTGGGCAGCGCTCGGAGGCGGCTCCTTTTGCTTTGGTTTTGATAGGTCTTGGCAAGCAAATCTGATGTCATTATTTCACAAGGTGATGAGTCGAAAAAGTAACCGAGTACTGTTAACAGTCAGGCTTTTAATGGAAAAAAAAAAAAGCCAAACAAAAACTCAAAACACAACTCCTGAGCAGCTGTCCCCAAAGCCTACATAAACTGTAAGAAACGGCCAGCTCAGGCACAAACACGGTCACTCAGGAAACGACAGATGAAGAACAGCAAGTGTCACCTGGGTTTCTTGGTCACCTACGTTCATTAAACCAACTTACACTTAAGTATGAGTGACACAGAAACAAAATGAAACAGAAACAAACAAAGAGCCTAATCATAGTGCCAGAATTCTGGAAAGCGGAAACTCAAGAAATCTCAGTTATAATGTACTAAACAGTCCAAACGCTGCCCCAGACTTCTTGAGGAATTATGAACAAGTCATTTAGTTGCTCTATGCCCAGCATATTTCAGGTCATAAAAGAGAAGATCATCACTCCCTTCTCAGCATGCCTTGGAGATAACATGAGTGTTAGCATTCAGGGAAGCATTCAGACCACAACATCCTGCTTTGCTGCCACTACCAGCAAGTTTTAAAACAAAGGAGATCCCAATGTAAACTGTGCTGGCAGATCAAAACCCAAAAGAAGGACACATGGCTATTTTACGCTTAAAAAAATACATAACTGAAATTGCTGGCTTCTCTTTAAATTGGCTTCTAAACATGTATTACAGTCAGAAAACCAAATGCCTATGTACTGTAAAAGGGAACAGATGTCCACATGTTCTTGATTAGCAATGTGCATAATAGTAAACAAAACGGATTAATTTTGAATGTTTCTATTTAGATCATAAAATGTGAAATATGGGTAAGACTAAACACTTAATACTGCTGATGCTAAAGAGGGAAAAGCCTCCTGAACAAAATAACACTTTTATTGAGGCTGCAAACTAATAAAGTTCTGCGAGAAGATTAAGCTTTGATACCTAAGCCTTGGATGTCCTGCACAGGTTCTCTGTACTTGTTTCCTTCCATCCACAAAGCAGGACTAATGACACTCATCCATCTCCCAAGCGCTCAAGGATCCATCCATGAAAGATGCAACCATTCTGTGATCGAGCTAGAGTACATGGCTAACGTCATCTATGCCTCAGCACCGCAAATTATCTCTTTTTAATTAAAAGGCTTAGGACTACAACTTTTATGCAAAGTAGCACTGCAGTCAAGGACCATTTTGCTTCATCAAATGGAAGATCCAGGTTTAGACCATTATCAGATCTCGACTAATACTTTGTATGGATATACATCCCTAACCTAGGAGCTGCTCATACTGGTAGAAATTTATCTTTTTCCTTTTGCAAGTTAGTTCAGAAAACTAGACAGCTGGAGACTATGGACTCCCAGACAGAAACATGAACCTGAGTGCAATGAGACAACAAAGCCAATATGAGGGTTGGAAAAATCACTCAACTGATATGGAAAATATAAGTTGGCTTTCATATACTGTTATATTATACTCCCTCACCACACTTTTAAAACTTAGCTAGGTCCTTGAGTGTGAGCCATTAGGCAACTAAAGCAGAAAGAGAATAACCCAAACCTCATTTTCTTTTCTTGGATAGGTACGAGAGCCTATCCAAGGGGATGAGAAAGGACGCAGAAGACACAAAAGGCCGGGCAGTGCCGGGAACGGGGCGACGCCGTGGATGGGGCGCACGACCTGCCCGCCCCGCTCCGTCCGCACAACGGAGCCGACGGTACGTCCGGAAAGAGGCAGGATGCACCGGGCACCACGACAGCTTCCCTCCGGGAAGGGCGATGGCAAGCACTGAATAGCTTCCTCCCCATTTGCAGAGGGAATGAAAGGTTGAAATTATAAGCACTGCCTAGGGATTTATGGCAGCGGGCAGCTTTTTACCCCCTATTCAGCAGCAGACGCTCCCTCGGCTGCTTCTTTGCTTCTCTTGACCACAGCTGCAGCTGGGCAAGGGAAGAGAAGCTCCGTTTGGCTCCTGGCTCCAGGTAAAAGCAGTTGAAGGTGGCTGCTGGCTGGTTACCCCTGAAAACTGCCTTTTGGAAGGGAGAGGAGAGGATAAACACAGCCGCTAGGGGGAAAATGAAAAAAAAAACTCACTTTAATAAAAACAAGCTAAAAGACACATAAAAACTAGCCTATTCCAAGGACCTAACCAAATTTTAAAAATGTTAGGAACTGAGATTTGTATAACCACACTTCATTATTGACCAGTTCTCCAAAGAATGATATAAAGAAAACCTGAGAGAGCTGAGTCATAGCGAATAAAAGCTGACTTACCTTTTACTCATAGGCTGAGTACTCATTTCTACCCTGGTCAGTGATGGCACTGATATCACCTACCAAGAACATGGTGAAGCTCATCTTTGTAGAACAGGGAATCAACAACTGTAGACCAAGCTATAATGTGAAATTGCAAAAGGAAAGAGAAAAACAGTATATAAAACTTTTTAAAATCTTTCTGATTATGTTTACAGGGCAGTTGGCAGGTCATACCTGAAACTGAGACAGATTTTACAAAAGCCTCCTTTGTATTAGACCATTATTACTGATTTCACAGAGGCCACACAGGTCATCCTATACTGATGGTAGAGCCATCAGCAACTATTTCATTCATCTAATCTGCTCTTCTACAAAAACAAACCTCACAAGTGTTCAGAGAGTTTACAGTTTGGGAATCTGTTCCCAGTCTGAGCCATGCTGTTCTCGTAGCTGATCTCTTTGACTGTAAACAAAATCTGTCTTATTTTTAATTTGAATTAAGCTTCAGTTTTCAAAAAGAATTTGTTGTGCCATTTTGCTCAGATTACAGAGCTCCCTGCTGACGGGAATCATCCACCAACACCTGTACTTTTAACCCACTATCACATTGCTTTATAGCCTTCCTGGTCCTAAACTAATTCCACTGAATTCCCTACAGCCATGTGAATGTAAGTACTTGAAAATAACCACTACAACCACTATAAACTATAAAGAAACCAAGTCCCAGCTTTCCTTGCTACAAAATCCTGTATCCTCAAAAAAGCCTCCCTTCTACAACAGCCAAGCATACAGCCTTAAAGTTACATAGTCCAACTTGCAATTGCTCCTTCTTCTGTAGAGCACTCAGACTTACTCTTTCCAAAACTATGCATGCCTTATATTCCTTAGGGAGACAGTTTAAAAGTGCAGTTAACTGCAGTATTAGTGCGAAAAGTACATGAGGTCAAGCAGGAAATGCCTGAAAAAAGGCAAGGCTTAAGCTACAGACGGATGATGACATTAAAAAAAAAAAAAAAGTAATAAGCAGACACAGATCATTTCATAGTTATGTGTCAGAGGACATTGGCCTGATCCAATGATCTGAGCTTCCCCTCATACAGGAATCATCATGAATGTTGTCTCAGCTGAAAAACAAATGACATTAGATTGAAAGAACAAACAGATGGAAAGAAGCAGAAGTTAATAGTGAAAACCCCCTGAGACACTTCAAGGTCAGTGGCATGAAAGATGTTGCAGCACAAAGCAGAAAGCAGGATCCCTTTCTCAGGGTAATTCTGTATTTGAGGAACATTTCAAAAATTGAGCAACAGGACAGGCTCTGCTGTGGGACTCAAAGTACATCTTTGTCAAAGCAGGCTGAAGTCTTTAACTTCTACAAACTTCTCAGGAATTAACTTTCTTACAAGCACCACAAACCCCAAAACCAGTATTTATAACAGACATTATAACCTGTATGAAACCCAACAACTGCTCCTTTATGACTCAAGAATGTTGCCTTTAATATCTGTAATCCAGGACAGAAAAAAAACGCTAATGACAGAACCAATGTAAGAGACAGGAAAGTAACCTTAGTTGGACATCGTGCAAGTGCCCGAAGGCGCAGAATTGTTTATATTTCAAATCAAACACCTACTTAACTAAACTAGAACAAAATGAGAACGGAACAGAGGCAGGGCAAAAATTGAGAGGAAAAAAAAAAAAACAATGAAAAGCTGAAAAAGCACACATAAAACCTGTATCAAACTTGTGCCACACCTGAGCTTCCAGTTTCAGAACGGAAAGAGCTGGAGTTGCTCCCTGTTTTTGGGTCCTGCATGCCAAGAGACAATGAGGAGGAGTATCAGCTCTCTCCAGTCTCCAGCCAGTGCTGGCACTACATTCACCTCAAGAACAACAACAACACTCAAAAGAGGAGCGGAAATACGCTGAATCCCGTGCTCAATCTAAAGCTCTCCAATTTTCCCGAATTTCCTTCAGGAAAGCAGGAGCCCTGCAGGCCAAGAGCAGGGGCCGAAGACCCGAACCGCAGGCGCCGGCAGGGCGCTCCGCAGGCGGCACAGCCCACGGGGCGGCTGTCGCACCGTCCCCCCCCCCCCCCGGGGGCCGGGGG